TTTTTGTAATTAACACATACATCTACGCAAAGCCCACCCACACCCAAGATTTTGTTTTTCTTACTTCAAAGTCTATCTTTTACAATCATGAGTTAAAATTCCTAAATACGATATTGTTTATTTGTTCAAACAGATAAATCTATACAAAATCAAAAGACAAAACTGTTCTATACATAAGAAGAAGAAGAAGACAACAACACACTATGTTAATCAATCTAACATTTGACTGAGTTTCTTAGCTATTTCAATAATATCATGTAATTTTTCTTGATTTAAATCTTCGATTTTCTTGATATGAACATGTAATTCGACGGAAATTTGTTGTTCCAGTTGTTCAATATAACCTAATGTACAACGAAGTTTATAAAAATCATCATTTTTATAATGTATAGGTACATATGTTCGTATAATATGTACTTCAATATTATCATAATAAAATATATTTCTTATAATACTATAAGAAATAATCGGAATAATATAATCTTGTAATGGAAGTGTTAAAGGATGTGTTGGATCAAGTAATGTTTCATGTTTAAATATAGATGAATAATTTTGTTGATTTATTATTGAATAAGAACGAAATTCATAAAGAATATCACAATGATAAGATGAATTTTGTTGATGAAAACATTTAAAGAATATTTTTGGTAGATTATTCAGAGATTTTATTCGACCATTTTTATCAAAATGTATACATATTTCATGTTTAGAATATGTATTTAAACAAATAAGAAGTATTTCACGTTGATGATCAATAAAAGTCATTTTAAACCATGGAAATATTAAATAAATTGAATCTGATTCTAATTGAACATACTAAAATTAAAAAAATTACAAAAAAAGAAAAGAAAATTTTTTCCTACTTTTCGTTTAATTTGATGATTATATTTATAAAAGATTTGTTGTAAACAATGACTATTTTCTTTTGTTATTTCAATTCGTTCAAGTATTGTCGATGGAAAAAATGTATCAAATAATGGAGGTAAAAAATGATTATTTATTAAAGAATCTAATGTTTTTGGATAAGAGCTATTCGATATAACTTGATCTTTATATTTTAATAGATAAATATTTCCAAATGAAATAATCATTTTTAATAATTCATTATCATTCATAGAATATTGACATGAAGAAATTTGTTCATACAATAGAGAAGAACAAGATTTAAATTGATTGGAAGATAATAATTCAAGTTCAATACGAAGACGAGTTAGATCATAATGTTCGGAATAAAATGATTTTGTTGATGAACATAATTGTATAGATGATGAAGATGATATCATACCATCGATTAGAAAAAATTGTGGAGGAATTTTATTGTAAAATGTTATCGAACTATCATTCTAAATTTCATGTTTCATTAAGGTCTACCTATCATTCATTTTCCTTGTTGAATGAACTTACATTTATTAAAACTGAATTTTGAATGGGTGATAATGGAGAGCCAGGATGTAATTGTATGGATCTATTAGTTGGAATGAGAAGTTGATCAGTTGTATGTTTTGATGGATTGATATTCATTTGAGCAAAAATATCTTCAAGTTTATCGATATTTCCATATTTATAATTAAGTGCATTATGATAAAGTTTTCCAACAATTGATTTCGATTGATATGATCTACTCTTTTCTTTACCTAAGAAATCTGGATATTTTCCTCCAATTTTCTCACGAATTTCTTTGATACGTTTTTTATCAATAATATAACCTGTTTTACCCGAATCAACTAATATAAAAAAAAATTAAATTAAATTCAATCTATTCGATATAATATAAAACAAACTAGAAGATGAAAACATTCGAGCTAATTCAATTGCCAATGGTTGACATGTTCGTTGAGAATAATTTTCAGAATTTTTATCAACAATAACTGCATGTAAATTATATATTTCACCTGAACTCGTTGCATTTAATATTGAAAGATAATATTTAATAATATCTATTGGAGAAATATCTGTTGATTGATATTGTTTTTCATCAGGTGTATAATCAAGTGGTTGAACTTGATATTTCAGACGTAATTCTTCTCCCCAATAAATCTTTCAAATACAAAAAATTTTAAATAAGAAAAAAAGAAATTCAATCAATTAATTTACAAAATAACCATCACCATCAAGATCCGATCCAGCAATTTTATTAAAATCAGGTCCTATAAAATTTTGTTTTTCATTTTCATTTCGAATTAAATCAAAATCATATACATACGTTCACCACGTACTGAAAAAACAATAACATCATGTAAATGAGATAATTCTGGTAGATCAACTGCCCATAATTCTAACATATCACCAGCATAGGGACTAAAAATTTTATTTTTTTTCAAAATAATTTTTTTTATTGAAAAGAATTACCAAGGATTTTTTGTAACAATCACTCTTCCTCGTACACATTCATATTTTGGTTGAGAGAATGATTGTCCATTATCATTTAGAATTTCATAACGAATAAAACATTGTCCTTGTTCAAGATTAGATTCTAACGCACATCCATATAAATATCGACATTCATTTACAGGTAATGGAATTTTATTTTTCAATAAATCACTAAAATATAACTTTTCTATGACAAATTCAACAAATTATGACTAACTCGGAATATTTTGAACGTGATGGTTTCTTACTAAACCATCGTTGTTGAAGTCGAAAAAATGTTATATCAGGTACTCCAAGATCTGATAAAAGCCATATAAACTGATTATTTAATCTAGTTGGTGCTAGAAATGAAATAAATAATTATATTTAAGAAACAGCTTTCTAAGTACAAGTATTTACTTGCACGACTAAAACCACAAATATCTAATATCCAATGATTAGATTCAAATTTTTTCATTGATGGTCGAATTTTAATATAATATTGTTCATATGTTGATTGTGGATCAATAATAATTAAACCTTTACAACCAGCTATTCGAATTTGATAAGCTGATGGAATAATAGAAGATTTATTTACTTTTTCATTAATTAATTTTGCTAAGCCTTTTGAAACTAAACCATTTCCATCTGTAAAACAATGGCTATTTCTTTCAATATCATCAATCATCATAATACATAATTCACCTTGTTTGACACGATAATTAAATTCGTTTTCATTTAAACAATATTTGAATTCAATCTAAAATATATATTCAAAACAAAAACATTTTTTTAGAAAGAAAATAGTCATACATATGTTGGATCAGTTTTACTAAAACATAAACCTAATCGAGCTACATATGTTCCTAAATTTCGTATTGTATGAAATTCACCTAATAATTGTCTTTTTTGATGTATTTCATCTAATGATGATGCTTTTAAAAACCAAAATGAATGATCTTTTATTTGTGAATTTGATGCTCCAAATAAATGATATGTATATCCATTTAATTCAATACCATTTTGAAATCTATCTTGAAAATATTCTAACATTTGATTATTTGAATTTAAATATAAATTTGGTGGATCTGGTTTTATATAAACTAGACAAAAATGATTAATATTTTTAAATAAAGAATAATGTAGAATACGATGGCCTTTCGTTTTTTCTTTTGGTTTAATTAATAAACGAGTTGGTGTTAAATAAATAACAGATATATATTGAATATTATTTTCCTTAGAAATTCTTTTTCTAGAATTTTTATTAAAAATTTTTGTTAAATCAAACCAATGACATTTTTCTAATTGTTCATAGGCTTCTAATGATAAATTATAAAAATTCCATTCATTTTCTTCAGCTAATTCAATCATTTGATTTCGAAGAATTGTATTATTTAAATATTTATCATCAAAAACATAACCTAATGAATGTAACATTGATATAGAATAACGTGTATTTTCTGTTCGATAAGAATTTAAATAATTATTTGACCATTGATCATGATTACGTTGAATTGTAATAATTGTATAATAAATTGTATAATTATAATTTATTTGAAAATAATTAAGAAATCGATCGACATTTGACTTCGGTGATAGACATATTAAAAAATCGGTACATTGATTTAATGACTGAACAATTGGATTATTTCCATACATTCTTATGTAGAGAAAAAAAACTGAATTTATTCAATAATTATAATAAGGAATCATTACTTTTCAATTGATATCATATTATAATTAAAAATAATTTCAGAAAAATCTTCACCATCAATAACAAGTATTTGTTTATGTAAAAATTTCAATGGTAATGACAAACGTATTGATTCTTCTTGTGTTTCAATAATTAATGTTTGTTTATTATCGATTTTAATTATCCAATGTTTTTTATGATCAAGAGGAGTAGAATGAATAAGAAATTTATCTGTTGAAAGTAAAGAACCAAAATAGATATAATTCGGAATAATTGAATTATTTAAAAAATACGATGAAGAAATAGTTGAGTCATCATCATGATCAATTGAAAACCAAATTTGTGGATATTGATCTAGTTTATCAGCAAGATTCGAACGAATTTGACGAGCATTTGATAATGAACATGTATAAGAATATTGATTATTATCTTTTTGTTTTACTAATGTATGAATATTTAATGATGATGAAATTATTTTAACAAGATCATTTGATACATTATGAAATGTACAATGAACAGAACGTCTACATGAAACATATTTTAAAATATATATTTTAAATTTAGAAAATATTCATACTCGGTCATAGTTTGACTTTATCTTTTAATAATTCTTCTTCTACATGTGTTTAGAATACAAAGCAAATCGTTATTATTTGTTTGTTTTCCATTCTGTTAGCTGTTCAAATGATTCATAGTTAGGGGTGTCATTTTATCGATTTATAGAGAAATATTTTATTTGATCAAATCACTTACAAGAAAAAGACAAAAAAAAAAACTCCTGATTTTCATGTATATATATATATATATTTCTTTTTTTAAATAAAAAATAAAACAAAATTATGTCATAATCATATTTTGCAAATACATGTTTTACGACAATAACGTTCAAGATCTGGAGTACGTCGACAGTTCTCTAATGAACATGTACCATCTTTATAAAAATCTTCACAACCTAAACAAAAATTAGAAATAATTAATAAATAAAAAAGAATCTATATTTTAAATATTAATAAACTTACAAGTATTACAAGTTCTTGGACAATGTACTCGACATGGAACACCAGAAAATTCGTATTCAGGACCACAATAATCTTTATAAGCAGGACAAGGAATTGTTAGACTATCATCACAAATATATGGTGCAATTGTTGAATTAATATAAATCAATGATGTTGTTCCAATAATTGTTGATGATTTTTGTGAAATAATTGTTACAATGGATGATGATAATGTTGTTGTACTTTGCATAGACGATATAGCTAAAAGATAAAATTTTATTTTTCATATAAAAACTATTCAAAAAAATCTGTTTCAAACCGTTTTGACATAATTCACCAGTAAAATTGATTGGACATAAACATGTAGCATCAGTTGTACCGTGTAATGTGGTACATGTACCACCATTTAAACATCTCTGACGACCTACACATGGATCATCAAATAATGATTGACATGTTGTACCTGTTCGACCAGCAGGACATTGACATGAATAACTATTCAATAGAGATATACAAGTCCCACCATTTAAACATGGAGAAACTGGATAACATTGATTTATATATTGACAACGTTCACCACTAAAATTTATTGGGCAATTACATATAGCAAATGAACCATAACTTGAACAAGTGCCACCATTAATACATTGAATTGTTGAACATAAACTTAATGATTGTGCACATAATGTACCAGTAAAAGCGGCTGGACATGAACAAACATATGATGTACCAACAATATTGCATGTACCTCCATTGAGACACTACGCAAAAAAAGAACAGTTTTTAGATTAGAAAGAAAAAAAAACTATATATATATATATTTTCATACTGGATTTGATAAACATGGTGATACCATTGCTGTTTGACATCTTGCACCTGTATATGTTGTTTGACCACAATTACATGTAAATGTTGTTCCTGATGCAATACATTGTCCATTATTTAAACATGGTTTTAATGAACATGGATCTGTTGAATATTCACAATATTTTCCTTGATATCCTATTGGACATTGACATAAAACATTTGTACCATTTATAATTGTACATGTCCCACCATTTTGACAAACTTTTAACGTACACATATCAATTAGATTTTCACATAATGGACCCGTATATAATGATGCGCACATACATTGAATACTTGTACCAATAATAACACAAGTACCTCCATTACGACAATTATTTGTAACATGAGCTGCATCACAACGAGTTTGATATAAAGAAAATTGACAACGTTCACCAGAATAACCAATCTGACATGAACAATAATAATAACATGTTACATTTATAAAATAGGAACATGTTGCATTATTTATACATGGTGATGATATACATGGATTATAATGTTCACAATATTTTCCAACAAAATTTTGAGAAGCAGGACATTGACATGATTGAGTAACTTGTGTACTTGCTTCATTTATTGTTGCTATACAAGTACCACCATTTGAACATGTTGTGATATCACATGGATTAGGTAAATTACATTGTATACCTAGATAACCTGGATAACATACACAAAGATATGCACGACCACCATTGATTACAGTACATGTTCCATATTGACATGGATTACTTGCACACTAATAAATAAATAAACAAATAAATAAGTAGAGAATATTTTTTTATATTAACTTACTGGATTTGTTGCACATGTACATGTATAATTTCCTGAAGAACTTAACATTGGTTGACATGATACAGATAATCCACTTGCTATACATGGATTAATAACTTCACAATTGATACCAACATAAGAAACTGGGCATGTACACATATATCCAGTGGTTGTTACTTGACATGTACCACCATTACGGCATGGACTACTTTCACATAATGTTCTTGCTAATGGAGTTTGACATTGTGCGCCATAATAACCAGTCATACAAATACATGTATAACCAGTTGTATCGGATTGTATACATGTACCATATATACAAGGACTACTTGCACAAGCAAGAGATATATTACAATTAGCACCTGTCCATCCAGCATAACAAGCACATTGAGCTGTTAATAAAGTTGGATTTATTTGACAAATACCATGAACACATGTCATATTTCGACATGGATTTAATGCTTCACATCGAGCACCATAATACATTGGTGTACACATACATCCTACAGTTGTTGTTGTTAACATTGTACAAGTTCCATTATTTACACATGGATTTGGTAAACATAAATTATACGTTTGACAATTTGCACCCACATAATTTGTTGCACATACACATGTATATGTACTAGGGCCTGATGGTACACATGTTCCACCGTTAAGACATGGGAGAAGACTACATGGATTAGCAGAAAGACAATTTGGACCAGTTAATTGTGATGGACAAATACATGTATAAGCTAAACCATTATTTATAGTTGCACATGTACCTGTATTACATGGTGATGATAAACAAGGATTTAGAATTGTTTGACATTGTGCACCGGTATAGATTGGTAAACAAATACAAGTATATCCACCAGTTTGAAGTGGTAAACAAGTACCATTATTTAAACCTAAAAATATTTATATTGATTATTCTCTTATCAATTTTTAGAAATCAAACTTACAAGGAGTATAAAGACATGCATTGGTAACAAGATTACATTGTGGTCCTGTGAAACTCGATGGACATATACACATATAACCAGTTGTACCACTTGGAATACAAGTACCATTTGATTGACATGGATTTGGTGAACATAATGATGCAGCAGCTTCACATCTTGAACCAGTGTATCCCGTTGCACATATACATACAAGTGTACCATTAAATAATTGTACACATGTACCACCATTTAAACAAGTTGTACTTGTACAACCATTACTTAATGGTGTTTCACAATCATCACC